GAAAGTTGCCATCTCAGGCTTCTGTTTTCTTGAGATTTCCCTATCAATATTTCCATTATAGTGCAATGTTGATATCAGCACTACCAGTTGTTTTTCTTTGCCATATACAAGGCCAATGTTATATCCTTCTGAAATCCAAATATTGTACTATGTAACTCTCTGTTTTGAAATTGCAACATTTCATTTGGAATTTCTGCCTTATTCCTCTGTACAGTGCCTATGCTGGGCAGCTTGAACCCCATTGACGAATGTAACATCAATTGGAAACTGGAAAACCAATTTTCAAGTGTCAAATTCTGATTAGTTTAGATGGGAGCAGCAAGCCTATTTACAATATCATTTGCTTTATTACTATACCAATAAGGACCTGGTGGTTGAGTTCCAGGATAAATTTCTAAACTGAAACATAATAAGTTGTTGCATCTACAAGGGTTAAATTTTTATGCCTTTTTTTTTTTTTTTTTTTTTGATCTTTTTGAGACAGCGTCTCGCTATGCAGTTCAGGCTGGCCTTGAGCTCAGTTTGTAACCCAGGCTGATCTCAAACTTGTGATGATCCTCCTGCTTCAGCCTCCCAAGTGCTGGGGTTACAGGTGTGCACCAGCATGCCCAGCTTTTGCCGTATTTTCAAGCTTTTGTGGGATTATACTGCATGAAGCCTCAGTAATTATGAAATTCTGCAAGATGTTCATTAACAGTCATGTATTCAGATGGTGTGTAAATTTCTTGACAATTACCCACAAATCTCTCAAACCATGAGCAGATAGCAGCTAGCTTATCAGTTCTTTTTCTTTCTTAGTGGGTGGTTTCATCATCAAACCTCAGGGAATCTGAAGGAAACCAGATCTCCTCACTATCATTACTATTCTACAAACTTCAAGCCCACACCCATCACTTTCCCATAGTCTTTTACATTCCCGTGAGTACCATTGAAAAGCCCTGGTAAGCACAGCAGACCTCTGAATGCTTTCCGTTCAGCTATTGAGGTGTCATATTAATACATTTCTATATCTAATATGGAATATTTTACTTGTATTTCATTTTGTAGCATTTCATCTGTACAAACAATTTCCAACATTGAGTGGCAATGCTGGCATTCTTTTTAAATACAGTTTCATCCCTGCCAAAACCCTCACTATATTTTCAGACCTAGTTCTAATGTTGGATTATTCCATTTGGTAGCATGACCATTTTGTACCATTTCTACCAGTGAAATATGTACGCACACTGCTGTTTCCTTTGTCATTTGAATCAAGGAGGTCTGCGTTCCCTGTATCAGTCTATTCTTGCTGCATTTCACTGTCACTGGAACTTTGGCTAACTTGGCCAGTGTCAAAGTCATTATCATCTTCCTCATCCATGCATGAATGATTTGATGATTCACTTCTCACCTCCTGGAAAACTTGCAAATCTGGTTTTTTATGTGCCGTTGTACTAAACTGGGCTACCGCTACCAGGAAAATTAAAAAAAGAAACTTCTAAAAAACCAGTCCTAAATGAAATTTAGCAATGAATATTTCATGAGTAAAACTTACCTGTTGCTGTTTTGAATCTCCTGTGTACACCTTGCGTTCATCTGCCAGGTGGGTAAGTGCACAGATGGGTTGTTGCTTTTCCCAGGCATAGCTACTGTGAGTAACACCCACATTCCATTTATGGTAAAATACATATTTACAGAATAGAAGAGTGGTGTGGGTATATTTTACCCTCTGTGATACTCAGGTAAACATGTGCAAAACCTATTAGATGGAGCAGTATATAGGTAAAAATCCCAGTTTGACAATTTTACACATAGGCACACACCTTGGTGTTCATCCTACCAAGTAGGTAAATATGAAGATTGCTCCCTATATCCCCTAGGCACAGCTACTGAGAGGTACAGTCAGCTACTATTATGCTAAATACAAACTTACAGTAAAAATGTATGGGTCAAGTTGTTGTACCTCAGTGCTATGTACTGCTCAACCTGTATACACATATTCAGTATTATTGAGATACAATCAGAAGAGGTCATTTTGACTCTGACCACCCAAACTATCTCTATTAAGCTTATGTGATTCTTCATTACCAACAATTGGGATCAGATTCTAATATCAATCAAATAGAGAAGAATCCTCGGAATCCCCCGAGGACATTTCACTCCATTAGCTCTGCTAAATAATTCCACAGCACAGTCAGATAGACACAGCTTGAGTTTGCTGCCTGTGGTCAGACTTCCAGGTAGTGAATGTTTCTTAGTCAAGACCTCGTTGCAGTCCTGAATGCCTCAAGCAGGAGTCTGGCTTCCGTGTTACCCACCAAGCCAAGTGGCATCAAGAGTAGAGGCCCGAGACTAGGGGTATAGCTCAGTGGTGAGCACTGGCCACGTGTGCATTAGGCCCTGGGTTCCATGCCCAGCACCAAGAAAAAGATTATCACAGCCTTTACAGTTTGTCCACCCCACAGAACCACCATAGGAGAAATTCCTGTTCCCTGCCTTCGTTTTTGTTCACAGGCAAATTAATGCTAGATCTTGTCCCTACCTTACTCTACACATCCTTCTTAATGCAAGCACATCTCTCTGTAACCATGACAAGGCCAGAAACCTGACACATTCCTGCTCATATTTATTTTAACCTACCCATATCCTCCCATGTACTTTATCTTTTTAAATTAATTAAGTTCATTTTAAGTGATACATAAAAGCATAAAAATTGCTCGTGCTGATGTGATGTTTCCATACGTGTGTACATTGTCTAATGTGTAGAACAGGGTAAACATATGGATCTCCTAAACATTTATCATTTCTTTGTGGTGAAAACATTCAAAATCCTTTCTTCTAGTGTGAAAAACTCAGTTATCATGCTGTGAACTGGCGCACCAGAACTTCTACGCCCTATCTAATTATTACTTAATATCCATTGGCCAACCTCTTCCCAGTCCAACAATCTTGATAACATAGCTACCATTTCTTGAGCACCCTATACCTTTCCTTACAGGCTGCCTCACTTAAAACACCCTACGCAGCCACAAAGGAAGGGCCATTGTTCCGTTGTGGCCATGAGGACAGAAAGCTTTCAAGAGTAACTTGTCTCACTGAAGTCACAGAGCATCAAGACCAGGATTCAAAACAGAAACTCACATCTGCCTCATGGCAATACTTAGGATTCTCACCACAGCAATAAGCCAGCTGTCCTAGTGATACAGGGGAAAGTGATACAGGGGAATCCTAGTATCACAAGTGATCCTAGTGATACAGGGGGAAGAAACCCCCAACCTGCTAGATGTCTGGTACAAGTTTGTGTTCTCTGAAATTGAAGAATGAATTTTAGGAACAAGGGAGGTTAAGAGCAGAATATATTTACTGGGGAAAGGAAGCTTCTCTCTGAGAGAGAGACTGAAGGGGTCCTGAGTGGGTTGCCAAGGACCTTGCCTTTTTAAAGGGTTTTTATAGAGCAAAACTACAAGGTGTGGCAAGTCAAAAGTAGGGGAAAATGGGAAATTGCAAGGTGGGCTTGAGGGAAGACAAAACTGTTCAACTAATAAGATTATGAGCATAATTGCTCGGGTAACATGGATTAAATCAGGAACAAATGGGGAAGCGAGTCACATAGCAAGTGGGCATGAAACAGAACAGGGGCTCTTCCTGTAGGGGGTTGGGTCAGTGTCTCTTCCTGGCTTCCTCAAGGTGATCCATAGATACCTATTTAGAATATCAATCCCTGATGTTTATCCTTAGGGGAAGTATGTGGGTGCATGAGTTTCAATTTTGTCTTGAGGTCTGGCCCTCAGCAGAGGTGCCTGTCTTCCCTACAGCTGCAAGGTGTCTCGTCTAGTGCACCAGCTCCTTTGGGAGCCTAGCCTGCCTGACTGCCTATAATACTTGTAGCTCGCTTAGCTGTCTATAACACTAGTGGCAGAGCTTGGCAAAACAGGGAATTCCACTGACTCTTTCTGATTCCACTGGGTGAATATCCAGAGCTAACGGGGCTCATGTCCAGTGGGTTGGCTGGCTGTTGTCTCTTCCTTTCCTTGTCTTTTTAGCAGACCCTGGGCTCCCTGGACCCATGTCTTTGATTTCAGAACCCATAACTCAGCTTTTTTCTTCTCTCCCAACACCGCTGATGTTGGAAAAACCTAAGTTGCATCCCTCCAGGAGAATGTTCCCCTTGGGCCCTGGGATCATCACCCATTGCGCCCGCCCTGGAGACATCTCTGAGCCTGTGCCCTCTCCAGCAGCCATCTACCTTGTCGGGGGGATAATTTCTACCTTTATTTTTACTTGCAGAGGAACATGGAACCCTAGACTGTGAGGGCTTCTTGTAATCTTGCCTGCCTCTACTCTGGGCTGGGCTGAGACATCTGCTGCACCAGCTCTAGTGTGTAAAATTCTGTAGCTTCCCCTCTGTTTGGATTGTCAGATGCTCAGATCATCTCACTGCTGGAGACAGTTTCCTAGAAGCTCGAAGAACTATTTTTGTCTCTCTTTTAATGTGTCCCTTGCCTGATTTGAGGCCTCCTAGGGATTTATCATCAGGGGCTGCAGTCATCAGAGGAGCCAGGGGTAGATAGCTTTTGCAGAGAGAATCCAGTAAAGGAGAATCCAAAGTCTATGACAGGTGAATCTATTTTTACTATATCTAGTTCATTTTTAAATGATCCCCACACGGTCCATCCAATGGGACTTTTACATATAGCAGCATATATTTTACTATATAGCTGCATATATTTTACTATATAGCTCACAGGTGCAAATTTCTCTCCTCTTCAACTGAGGACCATGGACTGATCAAAAGGCTGTAGTCACTGTTCCAACCTTCCCAGCCTTTCTCTTCCTGAATTGAAAGGATGTTGGCATAGTTCTTTCACACAATCTGTTTTGAAAATTTGTGGATGCTCTTGCTTTAAAGAAAGCAACTCAGAGTCATTTGAAACCAAGGTTAGTGATTAAACAGGGAAATTCCATCTGAGGTTTAAAATGACTCGTGATCACAGGAAGATTTTCTTTTGTTGTTCTTAAAGTGGCTCTGGTGGCAGCTGTCTTCCCCGGACCCTCATGAAGAGGAGCACAGACATAATCCTGGTGACCGGGTGGTGTGAGATTAGGCCTTGGCTGCAGGTTTGCTTTTTCCCTCTCCCACCTTTAAAAGCACCACTCCCATTTTAATCTTTGCTGAGCACTTATTATCCTTTACATTTTCCTTTAATGACAGTGACAATACGTCCCAATCCCAAGAGGACTCAGTGAAGAATTTAAATCATGCCTTTCTCCTTCGTCCTCTCTCTCCGGTGAGGCACTCTTTTTTGTTTTATTTTTTTTCCCGGTACTGGGAATCAAACTTCTGACCTTGCGCTTGCCAGGCAGGCACTGTGCCGCTGAGCTAATCCCCCAGCCCCAGGGTGAGGGACTCTTTATATTTGCTTTTACTCCCAGAGGTCTGGCTCTCTAACGGTAATAAGAGAAAAAGGATTAGAAAGCAAAGTCACCACAGTATCCTGTTGCTCTAAACTCAACCTTTGCATTTTATTCCTCCCCCTCCCCCACTTCAAAGGGGAAACCTTGAAACTGGGGGCCAGCTTCCGCCTAATTAGTTTTCCTGGTGTGAAGCCCTGCTGGTCCTGATTTGGCGCCTTCCTCCACAAACACACCTTTGTTCTTGTGGGTTTGTTTTGTTCTCTTGCTACCAGGGATGGAACACAGGGCCTCTACATTCTAGGCAAGCGCCTTACTGAGGAATGACCCCCGAGCCTAGCCGACCCGGACAACTCTTCAGTTCCCCAGATGAACTTGCGAATGAAACACCTAGTCCCCCAAGGAAAACAACTCAGTCAGCCCCTCTTGTTTTTCTGGCTACCCACCCCCAATCTCCCAGTTTTCCCTTCAGCGCTGATTCCGCACCTGTCTCTGGTGGTGTCTACACTGGAATTCAGCCCCCCAGTGCTTCTCTGTTGTAAACAGTCTGTTTTGCAACAGACCCACTTGTGAACTCTATCTCTAATTAAGGCCTTTGTGTAGCTTTGCAAACAGCCGTTTGTCCTTGGGCCTGGGGCAAGGAAGAACTGTTTTTGTCACTGGTTTTAACAGCTACTTTAATTAAGGCCCAGTGGTGGTTAAAGTACAAGAGGAGGAAGCACTTTCTTCAGGGCTGAGCTTGCTCACACTCATGGACCTTTCCAAAATTAATAAGGCTCCCTTTCTAGGCAGGAAAGTGCCATTTGAGTGATAGCAAATAATGAAGTTAAATGGAGCGCCAGCTGTCTAGTGTAAGTCCCTTGTTCTCAAGGAGAGAAAACTGAGCCCCAGGGAAACGGTACCCTTTGACCTACACCCAAGTGTCCGTTAGAAGCCAACCTGGAACAAGAGGTCAGTTCCTCTGGGTCCCAGTCAACCATCCTCCATGCTACCCCTAGAAACTGGATATGTGCAGAGAGCTTCAGGATCAGTAAGGAAATTACTGAGCAGGTTACCGGGCCAGCCCCTCCCCAGTGAATGGTGTTTTTGGCAGTCATTTTCCAACTTCATCTTTCTAGAAACAAATAGAGTAAATATATTAAAATGGGTTTTCTTTGAGCTCCTCCATGAGTTGCTAAGTGCTCCGAAGACTTGACTGTGCATTCTTCAGTTACCACCTGCTCAGGACTCAGTATACAAGGGGTGATGGAACTAGACGGCGAATACTTAAATTAAAAAAATTATTTCAGTAAAAGATATATTGCTGTTAACCACCCCCAGAATATTTCACCTTGCTTCAAACACACTTATCCCATTGTTTTCGCCACTTTCTGAAGCAGCTCTGGAAGTCCTCTTTCCTGAGTGTCTTTATAAGATGTGATAAAAAAAAATATGGTAAATGCCCCTGTCAGGCACCATTCAATAAAGAAGCAGCTTGTAAAACATGATGCTGTGTCCTCATCTACCTTACTCCATCAACCTGGCACCATGGGACTTCTGACTGTTCTGCAAATCGATATATTTACCTTTAATGGTCATTCAGGACATTGACAAAACTACAACAGCACAACTAAAGACACTGATGAAAGAGGACTTCCAGAGCTTCCTCACGATGTGGCAAAAACAATGGAATAAGTGTGTTCAAGGGGAGGGGATGAAGTCTGAGGGGAATTAATAAGAATATATCTTCTACTCTAACAAAATTTTAAAAATTTAAACATTCATAGCATTTTTCGATCATACCATATATAGCGAAAAAGAAGCAAGCAAAAGAGGCAAAATCAGCTATCCCATGAAGGGACAAACAGATTCCCCTGTTAATTAATTTATTTAACCATCCATGATGAAAGCAAATTCTACCACTGGAATCTCATTTTTTACTTTTTTCTTGAAACAGGGTCTTGCTATGTAATCCAGGCTGGCCTTGAACTTGTGGTGATCTGATCCTCCTGCTTCAGCCTCCCCAGTGCTGGGATTGCGGACATGCGCCAGCATACCTGGATTCATTTTATACTATTATTTTGACGAGGTTAAATTTTTTGATGTCAGTTAATTTCAGGAGAATCAATGTGAAATATAGATATCTTAGTGCTGAGTGTGAATCCAGGGCCTCATCCACACTAGGCAAATATTTTACCACTGGGAGACATCCTTAGCCCAATGCAACATAGAAATTAAAAATCCAAAATAAAAATGTTACTCTTCCAAAGTTTCTTTTCATCTCCAGATTCCTAATGACAAAAGTCTCCAAAAGAAAGGCAATTCTGAGAAGTCCAGTCAGCTTCTCCGACAGCTCTGCCTTGTTTGGGTTTTCTGTACCTTTTCTGGGCAACTCTGACCTCAGCACTCAGAGTTCAACAGATATTACCTCTGCCCCACAGGGGCCATTTCACAAAGATCAGAGAGCATTGCACAGAGCAATTAACAGCCCAGGCCGTTGTCCTGTCTGTAGCCCATGACTCAGCATGAATTCAAACTCTTGTTGATGATGGTTGTGGGTACTTGTTGTAGTGGGTACTTGTCGGGGTGGCACTGGGGTGGGCTTCGGGGATGAGTGGAGCAGACGGCCATTGCAGCTGGCCTCTTTCTCTTTCAGGCAGTGTAACTAAGACACTAGACTAACACAGGGAGAACTTCGCTGAGTTAAAATGGTGTGTGTACTCATTACCATCTTGTCATTATTATTGTCACACAAAAGTGACTTCCAGCTCAGCATCTGCAGAGAGGAGAAATGTGCCCCTCTGCAAAGCTGACTGTTCTACTGGAGGGAGTGGGCCACTTGCTGAGTAGACATTGGATTTCTTTTTAAAGACAAATGAACCTGGGGCAGTTTGACCTCAAGACCCAGTCTTCCTCTACCCCCACAGTCCAGTGCAGATGGCACCTCTCACCTTTGACTCTTTTGGGTCTTACTTATGTTAAACACAAGCTATAGGAGGCTATTCTTTTGGATTGAGCTCCTGCAGTGAGCCTCAATAAGCCAGGCTAACAATCAAAATGGAGTCACTCATGCTAAAGTCCCATATATCACGAAGCTAAAACTAAGCTGTTCGTTTGAACTTCTGAGAAATAAGTACCAGAAAGACACCAACAAAATTATCCAAACTGACTGGGGGTGCAATTGGTATGATGATGAAATTGCCTTTGCCTTAATCCTCATACAGAAAAAGCTAACCTGAAACAACCTGATGTGAGTCTGTCAGTTATTTTCTATTATTCTCTCTCCCTGTTTCTATCTTATAAAAAAAGTAACTTAAATGACCAACTCTCTTCCTGGTTTTGCTCATTCATATGTTCTTCACCCTTTTCCATCAATAAAACCAATCTCTTCTGCTCTGCTTATTGGAATAACTATTCTATTTTATGGAATGAAGTGTTGCCTGATTCTAGAATTACAGATAAATCCAATTAACATCTTTAAATTATTATAATCTTCTTTGTGACACTTGTTAATTGGCATCTGTTTAATAGTTGAATGTTTCTTGTAACTAGAATAAAATGTTTCTACTATTTTTCTTTTCTTTTTTTTTTTTTTTTTTTTTTCCAATACCGGGAATCAAACTCCAGACCTCACACTTGCCAGGCAGGTGCTGTGCTGCTGAGCTAAATCCCCAGCCCCCTTCTACTGTTTTTCTAACCAAATTCTTTTCACATACTTAAACAAAGAAAAATCTCCACCTCTATGATCAGCTCTGACCATGATGTTCCGAATCTAGAGTAACTTCTGGTTCTTTCACTGTATGCAGAAACTGCTTGTTATGGTTTAGATCTAAAATGTTCCCAGAAGTCTCCTGTGTTTAGAGGAAGGGCTATTGGAAGATCATTGGATAATGGGGGCATGAAACACATCAATGGATTAATTTATTGATGAATTCATAGATGAATGTATTGTTGGGAGGTAGGTGCTACTTGGAGGAGGTGTTTCACAGTGTGTGTTTGCGTGTGTGTGTGTGTGTGTGTGTGTGTGTGTGTGAGGGAGAGAGAGAGAGAGAGAGAGAGAGAGAGAGAGAGAGAGAGAGACCGGGAAGGGTGTGTTCCTGTCCCTAGCCCTTTCCTCTCTCTCTGCTCTTCCATTCTGCCTCTGCTTCCAGCCTTGGGGTAAACATCTGTCCTGTGCCACGCTCCTCTGTCAAGATGTTTATGCCTTGGAGCCAGTGAACCATGGATTGGAACCTCTGAAACTGTGAGCAAAAATAAACCCTTCCTTTAAACTGTGGGTGTCAGTATTTTGTTTACACTAACTTTTGAATCTGACCAAACATTCTTGTGTCTACTAAATAAACTTCTGGGAATGTTATTCTTAAGCTTAGCAAACATATAGCCTCTACCAACTCTAAAGTGAAGAATGCTATAACATAACATCGGAAACCTGAAGAGATTTTTCCACTTTTCTGTAGCCTGCTTGCCTGAAGCTCCTGCTGATGTAATTGGTGAATGCATTAATTTATGACTTTCTTTGTTCTGTGACTATAAAAGCTCATGTATCCTCTTCCACAGTGGAACATGTTATTCAGGGTAACTTGACTCTCTGTTCCTGGGCCATGGCCGCTTGTATTTGGCTCGGAATAAACTATTTTCTTATTTCTTTTAAAGCGGAGTCATTATTTTAAAACAACAGAGTTGACAATTTTGAAATAATCTGCCAATTATGGGCATTTGTCTTGGGAGAAGTTCTGTGTCTTCCATTAGGTTTTCAGATGAAGCCAAGACGACTCAAAAGATTAAGTGTTCCTGACACAGAGACATTTTAAAATATCAATTTACTAAAATGTGCTGTAAAACAGATAGCTCTTTGCTACACAATTTTAAGCATGCACTTAAAAAACTTTCCATAATCTTTAAATGAATTTATTTATTTTAAATTTAGAACTTAGAATGATGGTAAGAAATTAATTCTGTGTTATTAAAGTGCCCTGAATCCAGAAACTCTGTTCCCTGAATGGATATTTTTAGTGTGGATGATGGCCTTACCACTGCCTCAAAAATGTGGATTTGCATTCATTCATAAAACATTCACTGAACTTGTGCCTTGGGAATAGGATGATTCTCCCTCTGAGGTTAATGGAAATCATAAGGAATTCACTGTCCACTTGACAGCTCATGATAATGTTGTACACTTTGATAAAAACAGATATCACACACAGATAACTCCTGACCTAGACAGAGGGTCAAAGCAGTCTTAGAACAGGCAATACCAGAACCACATCCAGGTAGAGACTGAAGAGTTAGTTAGGTCACAGAGTACCTGGTAGGAGGGGTGGAGCAGTTTTGTGTAGCATGTTTTGATTTTAATGCACACAGGAGTCGTCTAGGGCTTTTGATGCAGTTTGTGGTGGTAGGTCCCGTGAACCTGCACTTCCAAGAAGCTGCCAGGTGATGAGGCTGCTGGCAGAACCTACTCTGAAGGAGCAAAAGGAGGAGAGGAGAGGTTTAATCAGTCATTTAGGGATCTGCAAGTAGTTCAGGGTGGCTCAGAAAGCAACTGACGGGGGGGCTGGGGATTTAGCTCAGCGGCAAAAGCGCCTGCCTGGGAAACGCAAGGTCATGAGTTCGGTTCCCGGTACCGGAGAAAAAAAAAAAAAAAAAAAAAAAAAAGCGACTGACGGTCACTTCGTGTGTAAGATTTCTTTTACTGTATCCAATACCTCAGATTATCAACCTCTAATGAGAAAAGGTCTGTTTTGCTTAGCAATTATAGGAGTTTCAGTCCATGATTGATTTTTGGCTCCATCATAGCAAGGAATGTGTGGTGGAGCAAAACATCACATCAAGGAAGTGAAAAAGAGGGAGAAGGACTAAGTCCCATAATGCCCTTTAAGGCCATGTCCCCAGTTACCTCTCTTCCTCCCACTGCGCCCGACCTCTTAAAGGTTCCATCATCTCCCAACTGTGCCAAGCTGGGGACCGTGTCTTTAACCTCTGGACCTTCTGGGGGCATTCCAGATCCAAAGGATAGTACTTTTTTCCAGAGGCCCAGAAAAGGCTCCCTCTGAAACATTCCAAACACACAGGAAAGTTTAGAGATAACAATAATAACATGCCGTCCAGACTTTACAAATGCACGTATTTAGATACCTCTGCTTCATGGTTTCTACGATATAGTGGAAACTCCTTTTATATCTGCCTCTTCCCAATCTCCCCTCTCTGTAGGGGCTCCTTTTCTGATACTGATGTGTATCTTTCACCGTGTTTTTGCATGTTCTTGTATGTCTGTGTATATAATAAATATTCAGTAGGGTTTTTTGTTTTTTGTTTTTTTTTTTTTTTTGGTGCTGGGGATTGAACCCAAAGCCTGTACATGCTAAGCATGTGCTCCGTCTGTCACTGAGCCACACCCCAGCCCAGGTTTTGTATTTTATGCCAATAGCACCTCATACAATTTCCCACAGCTTATATTTTTGCCTGGTTCTATTTCAAGATTTAGCCTGGTGAACACTTGGAGATCTAGCACATTTATTTATTTATTTATTTATTTATTTATTTTTGGTTTTTCTCCGGTACCGGGAACTGACCTCACGACCTTGCGCTTGCCAGGCAGGCGCTTTTGCCGCTGAGCTAAATCCCCAGCCCTGTCAATCTCTTTCTCTTATGGTCTATGCTTCTATCTTATTTAAGAAATCTTAAAGATGTGCTTTGTAACTCAGGATTTTGCAAATAATAGGTATCAACTGAGAAGAATTAATATACTGTGGGTCAATTTGACTGGATTTAAAAAAGCGATTAATGCAGTCATTTCTCTTTACACAGATATTGTCTTGTTTCAACTCTGTTCCTCAAAGGGCTGGAAAACCTTTCCAATAAGAAATGAGAACCGCAGATTACCGCTGCAATTTCCTTTCCCCTTTTTCCTTTTATGTAACTGCAGCCTTTCACACTTGGAGCACATGCTTTATGTCTGAGATGTACCTTAGCCCTGTATATTTTCTTCATCTTCTGGTTCTTCTGTGCATCACCCACTTCTGGGGTCCTGACTGTTATTATGGTAGTCTGGAGCACTCTTAACTCTCTTGAGATTTTCTCAGGGACACAACAGGACAGTAAGCAGAGCCACGCCCTGGACACCTCTCAGTTGCTGGGCTGCCTGCTCTTACATCTGGTACAGATGCTTGTGGCCACTCGTTATTCTGTGTCAGGTCTCTGCACACGGTCGCTGCACATTCCACGCATTTTTGTCTGCTAGGCTTGTTACAGAATGACCTCGAGAATCTCCCCAGAGGCGACATCTGGAATCCTTTGTGAATCCCCACATTCAGAAACACCAGCACTTCCATAGACATCTTCTCTTGGTACTTTCCATCGCTTGTGTTAGCAATTACCTTTCCTTTCACAGTTGCCTTGCCTTCCCTTTTCTTTCCCCTCTTAGTAAAGAAGAGTCTCGTTTAGCTCCCAGTTTTGAAGACTGGAGATCCAAACAGCATTATACAGGCTCTGGTGAGGGACCCGTTGCTGGCACATCATGCAATAGCGCATATCTCTGTGTTCCAGTCTTTCATCACAGGGAAGCTTTACAAGAACATTTTGAGCTTTTGATGGGGGAATGCATGCGTGTGAGAGCTATATATTTGGGTGGTAAGTCACTATAA